CTACAATGAGCTCGGCCAGTGGAATCTCCCAGCAGACGCCCCTCCGATCTGCTGTGCACAACACATGCCACCGAATGCCAATTCCCCGAATACTCCCAATTCTGAGCGCCAACCCCACCCGATGGCAGCCCGGGGCAGAGTGATCAGTGACTGCACCCCCAATGTGACCAGGTCCTGAACCCCAGTTATTGCACCTCTTCCTGCACCCCAATATACGCATATCAATTCTCTTCACTGACAACTTTATATTTAAATCCCCTGCAACATACGTATCAGGTACCCCAATATCTACAGATCTGCAGCCTGAACCCCAATATCATCCCCTAAAACTCCCAACTCAATGCATGTCTGCAGTCTCTGACCCTCTCCTGTACCATGTCTGCAGTCTCTGACCCTCTCCTGTATCATGTCTGCAGTCTCTGACCCTCTCCTGTACTATGTCTGCAGTCTCTGACCCTCTCCTGTAGCATGTCTGCAGTCTCTGACCCTCTCCTGTATCATGTCTGCAGTCTCTGACCCTCTCCTGTAGCATGTCTGCAGTCTCTGACCATCTCCTGTACTATGTCTACAGTCTCTGACCATCTCCTGTACCATGTCTGCAGTCTCTGACCGTCTCCTGTATCATGTCTGCAGTCTCTGACCATCTCCTGTAGCATGTCTGCAGTCTCTGACCATCTCCTGTATCATGTCTGCAGTCTCTGACCATCTCCTGTATCATGTCTGCAGTCTCTGACCATCTCCTGTAGCATGTCTGCAGTCTCTGACCCTCTCCTGTATCATGTCTGCAGTCTCTGACCATCTCCTGTAGCATGTCTGCGGTCTCTGACCATCTCCTATAGTTTTACACCAGCTTATTATTATGGGTGGCCCTTTGGTGAAGTCAGGGGCCACACCGTTGCACAGTCTTCTCCATATAATGAAGGATTTGAATAGAACCCTAAAACAATGGAGGAGATATGGGGAACCCCTCGGCCCGGGGGAATGCGGCCTCTATTACACCCCCACTAATACCCTCTCTGGGTCCGGAGAGCCCTTCCCCCGACAGACCTTCTCCACTATCACCGTCCCAATGCTATGGCATCACCGTCCCAATGCTATGGCATCACCGTCCCAATGCTATGGCATCACCGTCCCAGTGCTATGGCATCACCGTCCCAATGCTATGGCATCACCGTCCCAATGCTATGGCATCAGCGTCCCAATGCTATAGAATCACCGTCCCAGTGCTATGACATCACCAATGCCAGTTCATAGGAATCATAAGAAAACAAGGAACAGGAAGTGGCTGCAAAGATGCTGCAGGAGATCAGAAACATGAAATCAAGAACTTAGAAATGGTGATTGTCT